GGAAGCCCGGCGCGAAGCCCGAGCTGGGGGCGGCGGCCACGGGCGTCCCCACCGCTTTCTTGTCCAGCATGTTGTTCAGGTTGAGGTTGGCCAGGGATTTCTCCGTCTGCCAAAGGGAGGGGAGCGGGGAAGGGATGAAAAACGAAGGGGAAGACAGACTCCGGGCGAGCTGCAGAGGAACTCCCAGCCTGATTCTTTCCTCTTTTTTGCCTCCCTCTTGGCGGATCTCGACTCGGCCTCCACCCTCCACCCATACACGCGCAAAAGGAGCAAGATCGCGCTGGAAGGAGCGGGAGAGGGGAGGACGCCCACCGCGGGCCGCGCTGGGTTTCGACACGTGATCCTTCGCCCCGGGCGGCCGAGGTGGGCGGCGCGAAGCCGGTCCGGGAAGCCCCGGGCAGCGTGGCTGCGGTCCGCAGTGGAGAAACTCAAAGCGACAGCGGCGCCCTCCCTGCCGCTCTCCCCGCCTCCAGGGCGCTCGCACACTCTTTTGCAAACCCTGGGACTTTCCCGACCAGAAAGGTAGGGCGGGAGGGGGGGGGTCCCCCAGGACCGGGGGACAGAGGCAAAGTCCGAGAACTGAACGGCGGCTGCCGGCCCGGCCCGCTCCCTTTCGTACCTTGCACAAGAAGTCGACATCGTAGAAGGCGGACAGAAGTGTGGTCGACATGTTTCTGGATCCCGCAGTGGCCGGAGCGGCAGGCAGGGCGGTCGGGAGGAGCCCTCGGGGCGGCGTGGCCGGGCTAGAGCCACGACGAATAACGGGCGAGGGGCGGAGAGAAGCCGAAAGTTTGCCGGGGGGCGAGAGGAGAGGGCGAGGGCAGCGGCGCGGGCCGGCGGGAGGGTCCGGCAGAGTGCGGCTGGGGGGAAGGAGAGAAGCTAGGAGCGCTCCTCCGCGCCCCGGGGTGCCCGGCCCGCCCCCCCCGCGGAGCCGACGGCAGCTCGCGGACTGCTGGAACTCGGCGGCCCGCAAGCGCGCGTCCTATATAGAGCCCGGGGAACTGCGGCTGCCGCTGGGCGGGCACGCCGGGGGAGGGGACAGAACGCAGCCCCCGCCGGGGTCTCCAGGCAACGCCGCCCGCCGGCTGGTGGACGTCAGGCGCCTCTCGGCCTCCCATTGGTCGCCGCCAATTTTTTTTCCTCTGGGGGAGGGGGTGGGAGGCCTCGGGGCGGGGCCGGCGGCCGGAGCAGCGTGCAGCGCTTGGTCCCAGTGGGTGCCGCCGGGTGGCGGCGGGAAGGCACGGCTCTCCTCTTCGGGGGCTGAGCGGTTGGAGAGCCCCGGTGCGTTTAGCGTGGCCGGGATTCTGCAGCCCCGGATGTGTCTTTCCCTTCCCTGTTCTCCGAGGCGGACCTGTGGAGCTTTTAGCTCCCACCTTCGCTTTTGTGCTAGGCGCGGGAATTGCAAAATGCCAGAATATCGCAACCGTCCGCGCAGCCCGGCGTGTTTGCAAAGGGTGCTCCGGCCAGGAGGCGAGGGCTCGGGGCCTGCAGTCCATCAGTGGCGGCTCCAGCCCGACTGCACGTGGAGTCGCGGTGGGGGTGGGGACAGCCACGCGGGCGGCCGCCGCGGCAGTCTCGCCCGAGGAGCCCGGGCTCGTTTCTCCGCCCTCTCCCCGCCCAGGCTCAGTAAACAGGGCTTGAGCGCCGGGGCCTGACGGGCTGGGCTGAGTGTCTGAGGACAAGGCGCTGGCTTTGCTAATCACATCACAAGACCTTGAGCCAGGGCCAAAGGCGCGGAGTGGCGCGGGGCGTCCCGGGCGGGGGAGCTGACTCCGAGGACAGGAGGAAGAGCCGGGAGAGCGCGCGGGCATGGAGGCGACTTAGCACCACCCTTTCCGTCTGCTGGTCGGCTCGGCCTTCCCCGGCCCTCCAGGGCTGGGGGTGCAGCTGCCCGCCGAAGCTCCCCGCCCGGCATAGCCTGGGCCTGTTGCGCCCTCCCAGCCTCTTCCCTCCTCGGCCGTGGGGGCGCCGCGTCCAGCCTTCGCTGGATGAGGGCTGCAGGGTCCTGGGGGGCTGCATGGACGCAGATGGTGGGCGCGCCCCCCTCTGTTTTCCCTATTTCGCCAGCCCCACACCCCAACAGCTTGCGCTGGAAAATGCGCTTTGCCAGCGGGCGCCCCGCCCTCGTCCGGGTATAGAGCAGACACCCCCATCTAGTGCCCGGTGAGGCTAAAGCCGCTGACAGCCCCACTCAGAAAGATCTGGAGTCTGGTCTAGGACACTTATCGCTTCGCGTTCATACAGGTTGCCAAAAAGCTTGGGCCTGAAGTTGGAAGGTCCAGGACCCTATAGGGAAAGAACTAGGCCTGCGACTCAGAGATTCGAGTCCCTGGAGTTTAGCCTGCATTTCCCATTACTGTACTCCCCTGACGGCCCAGGGAGCCAGAGTCCAGGGTAAGGATCAGGAATGCTGGGCTGGAGTTCAGGCCCTGCCCCTTAGAAATCATGTGGTCTTACGCACATCGCATCATCTCTTTGGTACTTGGGTTTCTTGTCAAACGAAGATCATATTCCTGCTTGACTCATCTCTCACGCCTGTGAAAGTGCAAATGGTGTCTGTGAAGGTGTTTAAAAGACAAACAAGGACTAAACCATCTTTATGTATTAAACCAAATTGACAATGCATAGAGGTGGAGAAAGCCAGGCTTTTGAACTATGGCCAGATGGATGGAGCCAGTCATGAGTGCAGAGCTCTGGGGGCACCCAAATCCTGAACCTTAGGACTCAGCACCGAGAGTACCAGTTTCACTTTTAGCGCCTACCTTACACTGGCCCCTTGACAGACCTGGCAACTGTGGTCTGGTTTGTTCTCTGGCGAGATGACCCCAAACATCTCACCAAATGGTGTGAAACAGCCACTTCCCTAGGCACTTCCATTAGGTTAGTAACAAGATTTCAGATACAGAACCAGTGAAGCATCTGTTTGAATCAATGTCCAAATCTGGGGTGAGTCCCAGTCAACAGCTGTGAGAACACCGGTGACTTTGTGGATGAGGTAGGATTCTGGAGGTAGTATGTGGACGTGTTATGGGACATGCTTGTGTACAGAGTACCTGCTAGTATAAAATTCATGATGTAGCTGCTTTTATTTCATTTTAAATGGAGAAACAAGAAGTGCTGGCCATTTCCAATGTGCTGGGATTTGTTGGGCCAGTTCCATAATTCTCCTATTCTCCTGTGGTTATCACCACATTTATGCCACCAAGTCTCTGACTTCTCACCAGCCAGGTCTTAGAACAGTAAGTGTTAGGTTGGCAACTTTCCATCAGGTGTGGGCTACACAGCTGCCTAACTAGGTAATTAGTTCAGGATCACAAAAACCAAATTTGGGGCCAAGTGGTTGCAAAGCCACCCAGGGAATTTCCTCTTCTGTTTAGGACAAAACTTTGGACACTGAGCTGCCTTCCTGTCTCTTCCACCAAAGCCCTTTTCCTATACTTCCAGTACGGCTGCTTTTTTGTTCTTAAATTCCTCTTTCTTTTAGTGAAGGGGTTTTTCTGTGTTAGGCTGGAGTGTAGTGGCATTTCACAGGCATGAACTCCTGGGCGATCCTCCCACCTCAGCCTCCTGAGTAGCTGAGATTACAAGTGTGCACCACCATTCCTGGCTTACAAACTGCGTTTTTAGTGTTAGATGGTTTTCTCTCAAAAAGAGATGAATTACATTTGAAATATGAACTTTTCTGCAGTAGGAAATGATCGTAAACTCTCTCTAACCTGCCCCTTCAGACTCTGAAATGTCAATGAAATTACTCTATGTTATCATTCACCTGAGTATTGGAAATTTTTTTTACAGACTCTAAAATCTGGAGCAACTTTATATATTATGATTGAAATGGTTTTTTTTTCAGATCAGTAGGATGGAAAATGAATGTGGATGAGGCTACGACCCATCCAAACTGTGATTCTCAAGATAACTTATTCTGAGTTATTCTGGGTAACGCTTATTCTGAAACTATAAATTAAAAATGGTGAGCCAATGAAAAACTGGACCAGCAGCAAAACGTATGCAAGAGCGCCACCTGCTGGGTGTGTTAGGAAAAGGGCTGGGCTGGGCTTGAAAAGGCAGAAACATTAAGGTTTCTAGATTTAATCACTGCAAAGGATAAATGTGTTTAATGGCATCTTAAGTGAGAATCTTGTTACTGCCACCAAGCAAATGATAAGTAAACAATGTAGGCATGGAATGAGTCATTTTCTCTGGCTGTCCTTTCCCCAGGCTCCTCACAGCTGAGAGCATGGATAGACTTTCACTGGGTAGCAAAATCAGGTTTCCTAGCACTAGCATACTTTTTGGGGCTAGGGGGAGCTCTCAATGGCTCTTTTAATAATGAGGATGGAATGTGTAGGTCACTGCAGGACTTACACATACAGACAATAAAAATAAATTATTTGTATAAGGTTGATCCTGAATTCTCCCAGGATCCACATTTGGAACATGTTTCTGCTTTGCTAAAATGGAACAAAATTTATAAATCTGACCAAAAGGGCTGTTTGCCAACTAATCCATCCCCTAAATAGAGCCAGAAAAGGGGAGGGGGGAGGCATCATGTGTGTGCTAAAATGTAGTCCCTTCACAGAGAATGCGGGGCAGCTATGGCAGGACATTGGAGGCCTGGGGGATGAAAAAGGCTCATTCAGGCCTGCAGGGGCTGGGGACAGAGTAAATCTGCACATGAGTCGCCTCACTTCCTACAGTAGCAATAAAATGGGCTTCCCTGAATGAGTAAACTGAAGAAAAGTTTCTCTGTAAGAAGCGACAGAAAGCTGGACTCACAGAAGTAGGGGAGGCATGAAGGGGATAACATTTTTTCAATTTACATTCAACATGTTTCCTGCAGATTTAGTGGAGGAATAATCCACACATAGGCCCAATCCAGTCCCCCCAATTTTCTTTCTTCAACATGCTGCTTCTGTTTTTGAAAGAGTTAACTGCCTCACTTCTGCAGGAGAGTCCAAAACACTGAGAACTAGTGTGTCTTCCCCTTCCTTTCCTTCCAGAAAGGCCAGCAGCCTCAAGCAAGCCGAAGTCCTTTCCTTTTGAATGCAGAGTCTTGTAAATTCTACTGTCTTCACAAACTCAGCTGCTGGTGGAAGCTCTCTGAAGAGCTGAGACAGGAGGTGGCACTGCTCTGACACCATCCTTTGAAGGTGACAGAGCAACTCAGGGCTTGGGGGACGCCAGCCAGACGTGGAGAGGAGAGAGAAGAGGTGCTTGCAGAGGTATTTCACAAAGATCAGGGTCTCAGCCCAAAAGTTGACTGCTTCTTTTTCAAACAGGTAGTCTTCTTCCACCTAAATCAGATGAAAACGCTGAAATTCAGTCTTACAGGGAATGATGACAAGCCCCAGTCCAGACCAAGCAGTGCCCTGCCAGATGCAGGCGGGGGTCCCCTCCCCCACCTGACAGAGGGCACACTCTTGCCTGTCAACACCCATGTACACACACCACTCGCAGCCTTGAAGGTCACCTTCTATTTTCACTCACTGTATTTCTCCACCAGAGAGGAATTTTTTCCCCAGACTTAACATGACCTTGGATAAAGATGTGTTTGTGGTTCAAATTCAGGATAACTTTGGGGGACTGATGCTGAAATGAGACTTTAACAAGGGAGTGGGCCCTAGAGCTTAAGGGGCAGCTGGAAATTGGAGAGGAGGGAGGAAAGGTAATCTCTGCAGCAGGCCAGAGAGGAAGGAATCACCACACACAGGACACTAGGCTGTGTCCTGTTCTTATAACACTGCGATTCTCTCTCTTTTTTTTTTTTTGAGATGGAGTTTCGCTGTTGTCACCCAGACTGGAGTGCAATGGCACGATCTCGGCTCACCGCAACCTCTGCCTCCTGGGTTCAAGCAATTCTCCTGCCTCAGCTTCCCAAGTAGCTGGGACTCCAGGCACGTACCACCATGTCCAGCTAATTTTTGTATATATTTTAGTAGAAACGGAGTTTCACCTTGTTCATCAGGATGGTCTCGATCTCTTGACCTTGTGATCCACCCACCTCGGCCTCCCAAAGTGCTGGGATTATAGGTGTAAGCCACCGCGCCCGGCCAACACTGCAATTCTCAAGGTCATTTTATCAGACTGTTTATCATGTCTCCAAATTTCTCATAAACAGGGACAATGCTTTTTGAACCCTTGGCCTGCTGGGGATGTCAAATAGGCCAGCTCAGTCAGATGCTGGTGGCGATGAACTTTAGTTCTCAGGATGCTTTTGCTGCCTGTCTTCATCCTCAGTTTCCCTATCTGTGACTGCACCCACCTTGGATGGGGCTAATAATTTTCTTCAAATAGGAAGTTCCCAGCAAAGGTCCTAATTCTCTGAAAATGCTTCACCCTCAGACCTGACTGGGAAGTTCCAGGCTAACTCCAATACTAAACAAGCAGTCTCCATAACGAAACTGCATCCAGGGGCTTCTGAGTTCTCTCCCCTGACTAATCTGGAGGCTGACCATCAGCACCCCAGAAGTCAGCCTGAGAGAGTCTATGTGCCTGCAGCGGAACCCAGTGGGTGTCTTTCCTAGTGGTTCCTGCTCTAAGCATGCAGAAACCCACCTTCACCAGCTGAGGCTGTAGGTGCTGCATCCAGCAGGTTTAGGATACGCCAACCCTACCCCCCACTCCCTGACACCTTGACATCACCTGATGCATGCTCTCTACACAGACCACGAGGTCGTCACTCTCTCCCAGCAGCCATCCCAGCATGATGGGCACTCCAAGGGCCAGCTCATCCCACTGCTGGAGCAGATCACACAGGACAGCCAGGGCCAGGCCCAGAGCGATGGAGGCATCCACCTGGCAGAAGGAAAATTCTGCAGAGACAGGAGAAAGGTGAGCAATGAATGTACCGCACAGGGCCAACCCAGGGCAGCCTGCAGGACCCTGGGAACACGAAGGGCCTCAGGTAAGATTTCTGCCACCAGCACAGCAGGGAAGACTATTAATCACCTTCTGAATCCTGCGATCTATACTGCCGAAATGAGCAGGGCCGAACCCACTGTTCCCATGCCCCCGTAACGTAGTGTGGAGAGCAGTAGTCCCACCTGCAGGACTAGAGAGTTATCTCCCGTTGGCTCCTCCAGTGTCACTGGGAGGATCAGGGAAGCTTCCCCAGCCGGTGTTTCCTCTGCACACCTGCCGGGATTTGACTGGTTTGCCCTTTCCTTGGAAAGCAGATCTCCTGGGCACAAGACATCCTAGAGCAGGGCATCGGCGAGCTTTTCCTTAAAGGGCCGGAGAGTCAATATTTTAGACTTTGTAGGCCCACACCTCCTCAACTCTGCTGAAAGCAGCCAAAGACAATTTGTAAACAGGTTGTGGCTGTGTTCCAATAAAACTTCATTTATGGACACGGAGATCTGAATTTCATGTGTCACAAAATATTATTTTGATTGTTTTCAACCAATTAAAAATGTAAAAATCATTGATAGCTCACAGGCTGTAAAAAGCAGGTGTGGGCTGCATTAGGCTCCTATTTTGCTGCTCTGTCTTGGAGTTTTTTGCTTTTTGGACCCTTGTCTTCTAGGATGCCTGGGGGAAGGGCACTGAAAGAGGGCAATGGGTGCAGAAAGAGGAAGCAGGGAGCCTTGGGGAAACCATTGCTCATTTCACCATTTGACCTTAGACAATCCTAAATATGGGTTTGGAGGGAGGCTCAGGGGTGTTGCCACTTCCCCTAACAACTCTGCCCCTCCCACCCCAGGCCTGGAGGATGTCTGAAACACGGGCCTTAAAGCCCACTGCACAGACAATGGACTTTGGTAGACCCATCCTGCACCAACGCCTTTCAGTGATGCATGCACTTCTGTTGAGCCCTGATCTGTCCCAGATCCACACCTCTAACTTTAGCACACAGACTTACCCTGACCATAAGCCCCCAAAGACACTTGCTTGGCACATAGGCAGACAACTGAGGGAATGGAAGAGCAGGCTGAGTTCCCCGCCCCCCAGAGTTACCAGGATAGCCCCACTGAGGTCCTAGTGAGTGCCAGGTCCTGATCAAGGGTTTTCTCCCCAGTCTTTCCAGCATCCTATGGGTTGGTATGACATCACCCACTTGTACACATCAAGAAATTAGTTAGCAACAAGTTTCATGGTGCGTGCAAAGCACAGATTTGGAGAACTGGTATCAATATTCCAGAGGTTTTGATGGTGGGATCAGGGGAGTTAGTGACCCTGCAGTAGGACCAGGACTATTCATAGGTCACACAGCAGAGCCTAGTTGCGTGTAAACAGCTGAAAGAACTAATCTCACCATCTTCAGAGCCCCAGGTAAGTCCCCCAGGACACCTGGCCTTTAGTGTCCCCATTCCCCAAGCTCCTTGATCTGCAGCCTGGAACCCAGATTTAAATCAGGAAACAGAAAAGAGGAGGGGGTGAAGGTGCATTCTGGCTGTAAGTCTGAGACGTGTTGGCTGGGCTTCTACCTACAATCCGATCTCCTTTCACCTCTACCTTACTCCTTTGTGCAGTTCTCAGTTGGCTGAGAATCTGTATGGGGAGGGGATACAATTAAGCGGCCTTTTTCTCCCCCACCCCCATCCCGACAGAGTCTCTGTCATCCAGGCTGGAGTACAGTGGCGTCACACTGGCTCACTGCAACCTCCACCTCCTGGGTTCAAGTAGTTCTGCCTTAGTCCCCAAATAGCTGGGGCTACAGGTATGTGCCACCACACGCAGATAATTTTTTTTTTTAACCTGCTCAGCTAATTTTTCTATTTTTAGTAGAGACAGGGTTTCACCACATTGGCCAGGCTGGTCTCAAACTCCTGACCTCAAGTGATCTGCCTGCCTCAGCCTTCCAAAGTGCCGGGATTACAGTTCTGAGCCACCGTGCCTGGCCCCTTCAACTTTTAAGTTCTGGGGTACATGTGCAGGACATGCAGGCTTGTTACACAGGTAAGCATGTGCCATGGTGGTTTGCTGCACAGATCAACCCATCACCTAGTTATTAAGCCCAGCATCCATTAGCTACTCTTCCTGATGCTCCCCCACACCCTGCATAGGTGGCCTTTTCAAACCCTCAAACAATTAAAGACACACATGAGGACCTGCATAGGATTCAATACAGAGCAGATGCTCAGGACATCCCTGTATATGGCTGGAGATCATGAGATCTCTTCCTTTATCCCATTTGATCTAATCTGAACTCTAACATAGAGACTGGCACAAAGAAAGCATTCAATGAAAAGTAACTAGTGTTACTATCGAAAATGAACGCTTTGCTCCTACTGAATCCTTAATCGCTCCTGCCATTCTGCCATACTATAAGAGAGGTATCCCTATTTATCCAACAAGGAAACTGTGTTCATAAAGGTTAGGTAACTGGTCCAAGTTTGCTGGTAGCTGTGGTGCTGGGCTAAGTCTATCTCCAGTGCACAGACTGCCCCTACCCTGCAGGGAGACAATGGAGGTGAGTAAGTCAGACTTAGCTGTATCATCCTTTTTTTTTGAGACAGGGTTTCATTCTGGCACCCAGGCTGAAGTGTAGTGGCTTACTGCAGCCTTGACTTCCTCAGGCTCAGATGATCCTCCCACCTCAGCCTCCCTGAGTAGTTGTGAGTATAAGCATGTGCCACCATGTCAGGCTAATTTTTGTATTTTTTGTAAAGACAAGGTTTTGCCACATTGTCCAGGCTGGTCTTGAACTCCTGGGGCTCAAGTGATTTGCCTACCGCGGCCTCCCAAAGTGCTGGGAATACAGGCATGAACTGCTGTACCTGGTAGGTTTATCACTTTTTTTTTTTTGAGATAGAGTTTTGCTCTTGTTGCCCAGGCTGGAGTACAATGGCACAATCTTGGCTCACCACAACCTCTGCCTCCTGGGTTCAAGTGGTTCTCCTGCCTCAGCCTCCCGAGTAACTGGGATTACAGATGCCTGACACCATGCCCGGCTGATTTTATATTTTTAGTAGCGTTGGGGTTTCTCCATGTTGGCCAGGCTGGTTTCGGACTCCTGACCAAAGGTGATCCACATCAGCCTCCCAAAGTGCTGGGATTATAGGTGTGAGCCACCGCACCTGGCCTCCCACCATTTTTTTTATGTTCTCCTTAAGGCAAGGACTGAAAGCCCAACAGGGAAGAAGAAAATGTTATCATCCATCAGCAAAATCAGAACCTGCAGCTTAAGTGACACTCTGTTGAGTCCATAAAGAACCTATAGGGGTGACTAGAGATGCCACCAGGTAGGCCAGGCTGCTGCACTACCCCTACCTCCATCCTGCACCATTTTGCCCATTTTGCCATGAGTCATGCGTAGGAAGGGGCAGGAGAATTGCTTGAACCCAGGAGGTGGAGGTTGTGATGAGCCAAGATCGTGCCATTGCACTCCAGCCTGGGCAACAAGAGCAAAACTCCATTTTGCCCTGAGTCATGCTTAGGAAGGGGCAGGAGAGTGGTGGGATGACAGGCACAAGGGAAAAGCTGGTGTGATGTGGCCAGAAGTGGGTCTAGATAGAACTCTAACTACCCAGACTCCAAGCTTGCAAGGCAAGGAGGAAAGAAGAAGGAACGCTGAGATGTTTTGGGGAGGGTTGGGGAAGGATGAGTTGGATTTAGATCTCCTGCTTGAGGGACCAGATGCAACCTGCCAAATGTTTTTTATTGCCTTGCCCTGTACTAAGACAGCTCAGCCAGAACTGCCTAGATCTCTCCTGGCCAAATGCCTTATGAAGGGAGGCTGGAGTAGGGAGAGGAATTTTTCACTTAAGTGTGCAGGCCATCTAGGTTCTCACAGGCTGGCCAGTCCATCAAGGAAACAAGAAAGCAAACAACCAAGCAACAAGTGTGTTTTAAGAATTTGCTGAGAGGCTGGGCTCAGTGGCTCATGCCTGTGATCCCCAAATTTTGGGAGGCTGAGGTGGAAGGCTCCCTTGACACAAGACTCTGTTGCTACAAAAAAAACAAAAAAGAATCTGCTGTGTATCAAAACGATCTTGAAAAAGAAAATAAAATTGGAGGACTCATACTTCCTGATTTCAAAACTTACTACAAAGCTATAGGAATAAAGACAGTGTGGTACTGGCACAAGGAAAGACACAGATCAACAGACAGAGTCCAGAAACACTCCCTCACATTTATGGTCAAATGATTTTTGACAAGGGTACCAAAATAACTGGGGGGAAAAAAACAGTCTTTTCAACTAGTTTTCCTGGGACAACTGGATATACACATGTGAAAAAATGAAGTTGGACCCCTACCTCACACCATATACAAAAACTAACTCAAAATGTATTGAAGAACTAAATGTAAGAGCTAAAACTAGAAAACTCATAGAAGAAAACACAGGAGTAAATCTGTATGACCTTGAATTAGGCAACTGTTTCTTAGATATGACATCAAAAGCACAAGCAACATTAGAAAAACTGGGTGTTGTCAGGATGGGTGCAGTGGCTCAAGCCTGTAATCCCAGCACTTTGAGAGGCCCAGGCAGGTGGATCACCTGATGTCAGGAGTTCAAGACCAGCCTGACCATTATGGTAAAACCCCATCTCTACTAAAAACACAAAAATTAGCCAGGTGTGATAATATGTGCCTGCAGTCCCAGTTACTTGGGAGGCTGAGGCAGGAGAACTGCCTGAATCTGGGAGGCGAAGACTGCAGTGAGTGAGACTGACACTACACTCCAGCCTGGGTGACAGAGCAAAATTTCATCTAAAAAAAATGGGCTTTGTCAAAATGGAAAACTTTTGTGTCTCAAAGTAACACCAAAAGAAAATGAAAGGACAAATCACAGGAAGGGAGAAAATAGGTAAAAATCCTATCTGACAAGCTCATAAAGAACTCTTAATACTTAGTAATAATTAACACAGGAAAAGATGCTTAGCATCATT